CTCACTAATGTTGAAAATTTCAGAAATATTCATATTTTCAAATTTTACATATTTTCCAAATCTCGAAGAATTCCTTGAAAGTTTTTAAAAATTTGCCAAAAATTCAGTTTTCAAAATTTTGAAATATAAAAAATCCTTAATATTTCTACAAACCTTCCAGAATATTTACAACTGTCGAAACTGAAGAATGTTCAAATTTTAAAATATTTTGAAACTTTTGAATTTCTAGAATCTCAACATCCCTAGACACGCTGAAGTCTATAAAATTTCTAAAATATCTATAAATTTCAGATTCTCTACATCTCTTAAATTAGGTGTTCTAGCACCAAAATTTCTATAATCTGAATCAAATTCTATAATTTCGACAATACCTAAATGCTCTATAAAATATGAAATCTCAAAAATTATAGAATAGATATAAATAGATCTTAAATTATTTTTAAGATCTATTTAATTTCTCTACAGTCTCTTAAAGTTGTAAAATAAACAACATTTTTGAAACGGCTCGGATCTAGAAACTTCCTAAAATTTATGGAATTCCTAGGTTAAATTATCAAAAACACGTTTTCAGAAATCCGAAAATTTGTACAAATTTTAAGTTAAGTTCACGATCTCGAATTATTGACCTTCAATTTCAACATTTTTGTGTAACTTAGAAATGTTCAAAATTTCAGAATTATCTGCAATCTCAAATAAAACCCATCTCTGGAATACTTTCTTGAAAATTTTTAGAAAGTTCAGTCGTTAAAATTTTGAAACATAAAATCTTTAATACTTCTGTAAACCTTCCAGAATTCTTAAACTGTAGAAACTAAAGAATGTTCTAATTTTTTAATATTTTGAACCTGTCTAATTTCTAGAATTCCAAAACCCTTCGATACTTTGAAATTGATAGAATTAATTTTCTGGTTATCTCTAGAATTTCTATAAAATCCAGAAATCCCAGAATCTCATAAAATTCTTTGAATTCATAGAATCATGAAAATTTTTTAATTTTTTTAAAGTGAATTATTTGAAACTTTCTGATTTCTAGAATCCCAAAATCCCAAGAACGCTGAAGTCTCTAAAATTTCTAAAATATCTAGAAATGTCAAATTCTCTAACATCTTGTGAAATTGTTTTAGCACCAAAATCTCCATAAGCTGGATCAAATTCTGGAATATATTTATTCTTGAAAAATACCTAAATGTTCTATAACTTCTGAAGTCCCAAAAATTAAAAACTTTAACATTCCCGAATTCAGTGAAATTTTCAAGGTCCAGATTGTCTATAAAATGATTACAGAATCTTAATTTTTTTAAGATCTATTTAGTTTCTAAACCTCAGAATCACTATATACTAAGAAATCTATTACAATCTCTTGAAGTTGTAAAATAAATAACATTTTTTTATGAAATGACTTGAATCTATAAATTTCCTAGAATTCCTAGATTAAATTTTCAAAAGTGTCCTTAAAAATCTGAGAATTTGTAGAATTTTTAGAATGTTCACAATTTTGAAATTCTTTACAATTCTTGAACTTGAATTCAGATTTATCTGCAATCTTAAATAAAAATAAAATATCAAAGAATTCCTCGAAAATTTTTAAAAATTTTCAAAAGCTCGATCTTCAAAATTTTTAAATGTAAAATCTTTAATATTTCTAGAGTCTTTAATAAAACTAAAGAAACTATAGAATGTTCAAATTTTAAAATATCTTGAAAAACATACAATGTTTTCTGAAATTGAAAATTTGAATTGAAACTTCCAAAGTTGTAGAATCCCAGAATCCTATTCTCTAATATTTCTAAAATATCTAGAATTCGCAGAATCTGTAACATCCTTTGAAATTAGGTATAGAGTCCTGAAAATTCCTGGTACCAAAATCTCTTAATATCTATACCTGTAAAATTTTTTTGAAAACATTTTTTATCTTGGAAAATTCTATAATTTCTATAAACTTTGAAATCTCAAAAATCAAAAACTTTAAAATTCCCGGATTTCAGAACGTCTAATATGTCTATCATTAGTGAAATTTTCAAGACCTATGGAGATCTGGAACTTATAAAATGGAAAAAATTTTTGAGATCTCAAAAATAATAGAATCTTATTTTTTTTTAAATCTATTTAATTTTTAAATCTTAGAAGACCTAGAATCTTCATACTCTAAAATATCTATGCACCTAAAATTTATAGATTCCTAGAGTAAATTCTCAAAAACATACAATGTTTTCTGAAATCCGAAAATTTTAATTGAATTTCAACATTTTTTTGTAATCTCAAAAAAGTTCAAATTTTCAAAATTAGTTGCACTCTCAAATAAAAGCCAATTCTCGAAGACTTTCTTCAAATTTTTGAAAAAATCATTTTGAACCTTTCAAATTTCTAGAATCCCAAAATTCCTGGACAGTCTGAAATCTGTAAAATGACAGCTATCTCTAGAATTTCTGAAATAGCTAAAAATCCCGGAATCTCTAACATTCTTTGAATTCATAGAATCATGAATATTTTTTTGAATGTGAATGTTTTAGGACCAAAATATCTACAAAAATCTTGACATTTCTAAAACTCTAGAAAATAAAGGATTTTCAAATTACAGATTATTTTATTTGAAATTTCTATAATTTCGACAATACCTAAATTTTCTCTAAATTTTGAAAGCTCAGTAATAAAAATCTTTTAAAGTTTCTAGAATCTCCATAATCTAAGAAATCTATACAACTCTCCATTCTGTTGAATTGTTAAAAGCTGTAAAATATACAAAATTTCTGAAATCTGTTGAATCGATAAACTTTCTAAAATTTATAGAATTCCTAAGTTAACTTATGAAAAATATAGACTTTTAGAAACCTGAAAACGTACACAATTTTTAGAATGTTCACAATCTTTAAACTCTTCAGAATTTTTGGAGTTGAATTTCTAAATTTTTCTATAATCTCAGAAATGTTCAAAATTTACAATCTCAAATATTATCTAAATCTTGAAGATTTCAGTTTTCAAAATGTTAAACATTTCTACAGATCTTACATAATTCTAAAATAGTGGAAACCAAAGAATGTTCAAATTCTAGAATAGGTATTTTGAATTTCCACGAATTTCTAGAATTCCAAAATTCCTAAACTCAAAGGTCTCACGAAAACGTTTAAATTTTGTGAATATGAATGTTTTAGCTCCAAAATCTCTACAACTTTTAGAATCTGAAACCTTTGTGAACTCAAAAATCTCCAAAATTATACGATTTGCCCAATCTATAAAATTCTAGAATTTCTGGATTTCCAAGCACCACCACAATTTTTCAAATTACTTGGGCTCCTGAAGTCTCTAAATATGTACTAAAGCTAAAAACTTTTAATACAATCAAAATTAGGAAATATCTAGAATAAAATTTTCTGCAATGTCGTCTTAATTTATGAAATTTAGAAGTATCACTTCACATTGTCTAAAACCTGAAACCTTGTCCAAACTTCAGGATCTTGGAATCTTTACAGATCCGGAATACTAGAAATTTTTTGAACGAAATGTACAGAATCTCTACAGTTACTCGAGTCGAAAATAAAAAAAAAATCGGTGGTGGAATTTGGAAGCTAAATCGTAAAATTTTGACTTTTCTTTCAAAAATTTAGACATCCAAGACAAAAAATAAGGACGAAAAATCCTACATCAAAATCATACACACCCCCTTACGACCCATTTTAATCAAACAACGTCTGATTATTATCAACAATCCTAGATTTTTCTAAACCCCACCACACGAAATCGTCGACAAAACAAACGATGCCAGAAAAAGGATGTCGCTTGACACACGCTTTTCGCGCAATTACCTCGGTATATGTGAAAGCCGTTCGGAATGGATTCACATGGATAATTGATTAAAACCAGGACAAACGTCTTCTCGTTCGGATCTAAATTAGAGAGTGTAAGTTGTGTGCTCCGCAATAACTTGGCTTTTCGTATTTAATCCGGTATGACAATATCATCATAATCGTCATCATCATCACAACAAGATGAGCATCTCGACAAAAGCCGTGTATGTGTGTGGAGGCATCTACAAGGCTTTTCCTAAGCACCGTGTACGTACGGTTATTGTGACGACACACGCTGCTTGATTTTCGGGGTTTAACGTCACCATTTATTCGCTTGTTTGGGGGAGGCGGTGGGCGGGGTGGGAGGATAGACGTCTCAGGGGAGTCGCCGCACGTCGTGTTTTCGGGATTTTAGCAACGAAAATTTCGTTACTTCAGGAGTTCTCTATTTTTTGGAAAAAAATGAAAAAAGCAACCAGGAGTATGTATATGTTTTTGAAAAATGAAAATAACAAGGGTCAGTTTTGTCATAATAAGGAATTATTGTTACATACTATAGAGGCACTCTTAATGGGTCTCAAATAGGAAAGAGTGTAAAGAATGCCGTAAAATGTGTAACGGAAGAAATTATCATATTCAAACAAAGCGAGTTGTCAGAAGATTAAGACATAAAGTACAAGATTAACATTCTATTAGTAGTAGCAGTAAAAATGTAATAGATGGTTATTACGAGAATGATGAACATGAGAAATTAACATATGTGTGGGAGCCATACAAAAACTAAAATACAACGGAACTTTTTAAGACTGCAGTAAGTGTAACGTCAGAATTTTAAATTATTGGAAAGTATGAATTGTTTTCAATTATAAATAAATAATAAATGTTAATCAAGAAATAAGTATTAAATGTGACTGTCTGTCTCGTGTCAATCTCAAAGTTTTGAAAAGTATTTCAATTTCATAAACTAATATGCTTCTATACTTGTGGTTTATGAATCCGTCTGTATTGTTTTACTTTTGATACTTTAATGGTCTGAAATAAATTCAGAATTTTAGAACAAAATTTTAGAAATTATTTCTGAAACGACTTAATTAGATCGCTATCAAAATGTGTCTGTCCATCCCCCCAAAATTTTGATGGCATCAATAGTGCTAAGCAAATCCGCATTCCAGTGTCGTGTGTAGTTTACAAATTCATGTGTTTTTTTTTTTATTTCAGTGCACAGAGTGGCCAAAAATTAATGCACTAACCCAAGGGAACATTGGTAAGTCTAAGCTCGACAAAAATGATTAAAACAAAACAAAGATTGATCAAAAAATTAAAAAAAAATTAAAGAACCGAAGGATTAAGAAATTTTAAAATTGAAAAATCATTGACAAAAAATCGCAAATTAGACCAATCGAAAAATTGAACAATGAAAAATAATATTCTCAAGATTGCAAAATTGCAAAACTGAAAAGTCGAAAAAATGCAGAATTATTATAAAATTAAAAAAAAACAATGGACTCATTTTAAAATAGGGAAAATCGAAAAATTGAAACTACGTTTGGCACCAAGAATTTTAATTTTTTTGCTTGTCCTGTATAAGCGTTAACATATAAAAAAAATGCAGAATCATTCACCTAAAAAATCGAAAAATTGGAAAATTCTGAAGTTGAAGAATTGAAAAGTTTAAAACTAAAACCTAGAATATTTAAAGAAGCGAAAAATTGAAAAATCTAAAATTTAAAAATCGAGGAACAATAAATTGCAGATTTGGCCAATCGAAAATTGAAATATAGAAAAATTTAAAAATTGTACAAATGAAAAATTATAAAATGGAATCATTTTAAAATATGGGAAAATCCGAAAATTAAAAAACTCACATTTGGGTTCAAAATTTTTTGTTATTTTTCTTTGTCGATAAACAACGTGTCATAAATTGAGTGTGCCATATTTTATCACCCTATGTATAGGCATTAATATAAAGAAAAATTTGCAAAATTATTCAATGAAAAATTAAAAATTCGAAAAATTGAAAATTTCGAAAGTTGAAAAATTAAAAATTTTAGCAAATTTGAACAGTTAGAAAATTGGAAAAACAAAAAATTATATGTAAAAAATTGAAAAATTGTAAAATTAAAAAATCCAAGGATGTAATCATTTTAAAGTAGTGAAAATTTAAAAACTAAAAATTTAACATTTGGATCCAAGGATTTTTAAATTATCCTGTACAGGTGTTAACATAAGGAAGTGAAAAGGTGAAAGCTGTAGTTTACACTTGTAAAACATAGTTAATTCAATTAACTAACTGATCATAAAGTTGGAAAATCAAAACAATGAAAAATTGAAAAATCCGATAAATTGAAAAATTGAAAAATTAAAAATCGCAAATTTGGCTAATCGAAAAATTTGAAAAATATCTAAAAATTGAAAACTTGTAAAATTAAAAGTTCGAAAAATTACAAAATTATGAAATTAAAAAATAAGAAAAAAGTGGCATTATTTTAAAATAGGGTAGATCAAAAAATTAAAAATTTACATTTTGGCCCAAAGATTTTTTTCATTATTTTTTCTTTGCTCAATAAATAAGGTGTCTTAGACCTGTGTGCCAAGTTTTGATCACCCTGTATAAGCCTTAACATAAATAAAAACTTGTAGAATTATTCAATTAAACACTGAGAATAAAACTAGAAAATCAAAACAATTTAAAAATCGAGAAATTGATAAATTGAAAATCCGAAAACAAGGTGTCAAATTTGAACAATTGAAAAACTGGAAAAACGAAAAATAAAAATGGAAAAATTGCAAAAACCTACATCTAGCCCCAAGGATTTGTTAATATATTTTTCCCCTGCTCAATTATCAAGGTGCATAGACTTGATGTTCCATTTTTTGATCATCCTGTATAGGCCTTAATATAAAGAAAAATTTTCAGAAACATTCATTTAAAAAACTGGTCAAAAAATTGGGAAATTAAACCAAAGAAAAAATCGCAAAATTGAAAGATTTAGAAGCTGAAAATCAAAAATTTTAAAACTGGAAACTAGAAAAATTGCGAATCGGAAAGTAAAAGATACAAAATAAAAGAAACGGAAAATTGAAAAATATAAAAATTGAAAATCGAGAAACAAAGAGGCGCAAATTTAAATAATTGAAAATTAATATCTAAAAATCAAAAATTGCAGAACTGTAAAATTAAAAAATCGAAAATGGAAAAATTTTAAAACAAGGAAAATAGAAGAATCGAAGAAAAATCTACATTTGGTGCCAAGGATTCATTGTGTCATTTTGACTTAATGTGCTATTTTTTGATGATTCGGTATATGCATTAACCTAAAAAAAATGCAGAATCAGTCACTTAAAGAATTTGATTTAAAAAAATTGGAAAATCAAAGCAATGAAATCGAAAAATTATAAACCTCAAAAATTAAAAAAATGGAAACGTAGCCTTGATACATCGAGAAAATGAAAAATCTAAAAATTTTGAAACTGAAACCAGAAAAATCGTCTTTTAAATTTTTTTAATTGAACTATTAAAGGAACTTAAAATTGAAAAACCGAAAAATTAAATCGAGAATAAAAGTCGCAAATTTGAACGACCGAAAAACTAGAAAAACGAAACAATATTCTAAAAATTTAAAAACTGAAAACCCGAAAAATTCCAAAATTATTGCGAAATTCCAAAAAACGAAAAATAGAATAATTTTAAAACAGGGAAAATCGAAAAATATAAACAATAATTTGGGCCCAAGGAACTTTTAAAACTATTTTTCATTTCTCAATAAACAAGGTGCCATTTTTTTAACACTCTTTATAGGCATTAACATAAAAAGCTGATCAAAATAAGGGAAAATCTAAAAATTGAAAACTGAAAAATAAACACGGAAAATTGAAAAATGGAAAATTGAAAATTCCAAATGTCGGAAAATCAAAATCTTAAAACTAGAAACTAGAAAATTGCAAATCGGAAAATCACAGAATCGAAAATTAAAAATCGAGAACAAAAAATCGCAAAATTTGGCCAATCGAAAAATTCGAAAAACATAAAAATTGGAAATTTGTAAAATTAAAAGATCAAAAAATTGCAAAATTATGTAATTAAAAAAAATCGGAGGAAAGGATTTTTTAAATTATTTTTTCTTTGCTCAATAAACAACATGTCATAGCAGGGAAAAATCGAAAAATTGTAAAGTCATTTTCAAAAGTTTTATCGCTTTGAAGTGAAGTTTGTTACATCTGTTCAAATAATGGAGAAAAATTGGAAAATATTTTCCAAAAATTGTCAAAAAAAAAGTTGAAACAGACTACTCGAATAAACTCTGTGGAAAAATAAACTACCATTATTATGATTAAAAAAGAAGTTAGTTTGTCGTGAATTTTTGAAATATAACGAATTCTAAGCCAATTCTACTATAGTTCTTCAAACAATTTTGAAAAATAGAAAAGTTCAGTTTCGAAAGTTTTCCAAAATAAAAATGCTGAAACGAATCCTATTCCAATACAAAAGTCATTATTTTATCAAAAATTATCTGCTAATTATCAGAGAAATTGGAGACGATTCTCTAATAATTATCCAAAAAAATTTCAGGAATGGAAAAAGCGTTAGTTTATTGTGAATTTTTCGAAGATAACAAACTTGAACGCAATTTTACCATATTTATTCAAAACAATTGAAAAATAGTTTTAAAAATTTTTCCAAAAATTTAGAAAAATCAGTATGCATCAATAATTATTTAATAATTATTAGTTTACAGCAATTTTTGCTACAGTTGTTCAAATAATGAGGAAAAGTTGGAAAATATTTTCCAAAAATCGTCTTAAAAAAATTATTGACATATATTTTACTTGAATAGAAAAAAGCGTTAATTTATCGTGAATTTTTGGGAGAGGACGAACTTGAAGACAGTTTGACTATAGTTCTTCAAATGATTGAGAAAAATTGGAAAATAATTTTCAAAAGTTTTATAAAAAAAATACTAAAACGAACTCTATTCCAATACAAAAATCACTGCTTTATAAAAAATTATCTCCAATTTATAACTTTGAACCCATTTCTGCTGCAGCTATTCAAAAAATAGAGAAAAACTGAAGAATATTTTTCAAAACTGAAAAAACTGAAAAAAATTCAGACTTTACTCGAACAGAAAAACACTTTGGTTTATCGTCAATTTTTCGGACATAACGAATTTGAGCATAATTTGACTATATAGCAAATATAGCTATATATAGCTGTTCAAATAAGTGAGATAAAGAGAAATGTAACTTCCAAAAAATTTTCAAAAAAAAAATTGAAACAAACTCTACTCAAAAACAAAACTCATTATTTTTTTGTAAAGGATTTTTGCTACAGCCATTTGGAGAAAAATTGCAAAATATTTTCCAAAAATTGTTCAAAAAAATTTTACAATATAATTCTTCAAATAAGTGAGAAAAATAGAAAAATAATTTCCGAAAATGTTCCAAAAAAATGTTGAAACGAACTATATTCTAATACAAAATTCACTATTTTATGAATAATTATCTGCAGATTATCATTTTGGACCAGTATAATTATTATTACAGCTGTTTGAATAATGGAGAATATTTTCCAAAAATTGTCCAAAAAATTCATGAAATAGATTTTACTCGAATTGAAAGGAATCTTATTTTATCGTGAATTTTTCGGATACAACGAACTTTTCCAAAAAAAATAGTTTTGCATAAAGGATTATTTGCAGATTATCACCTTGAAACCATTTTCGCTTGTGTGCAAATAATGAAGAAAAATTGGAAAATGTTTTCCAAAAAAATTCATGACACATACCTTAGATTTAAAAGTATATGTTTGTTTAAAAAAAGCCAAAATATAGCATTGATACATGGAAAAATTGAAAAATTAGACATCGAGAAATTGTAAAATCTAAAAACTGAAAAAGAAAAAATTGGAAAATTTAAAAATTGAAAAATAGCAAATTTAAACAATCGAAAAATAGAAAAACTATAAAATTACAAAGTCGAAAAATTGAAAAATTGTAAAATAACGAAAATCTGATAATTTAAAAACCCTCAAAAACTAAAAAACTAGAAACAAAAATCGCAAATTTGAACAATCTAAAATTGGAAAAACGAAAAATAATATCTAAAAACTGAAATTTTATACAATTAAAGGATTAAAAAATTGCTAAATATCACTATAGAACTACTATATGTTTGAACCAAAAGATAGGAGTAAGTTACTGATGAAAATCAAAAATAAAACTGGACCAAGCATAGAGCCTTGAAGCATCGTTTTATCGATTTTAG